GTCTTCCACGGCCTCCCGCAGTTTGGTCAGACTCATGTTTGTAGCTTCAAGAACACTGTCCAGCCATCTCGTCCTCTGTCGTCCCCTTCTCCTTGTGCTCTCCATCTTTCCCAGCATCAGGGTCTTTTCCAGGGAGTCTTCTCTTCTCATGAGGTGGCCAAAGTATTGGAGCCTCAGCTTCACGATCTGTCCTTCCAGTGAGCACTCAGGGCTGATTTCCTTAAGAATGGATACGTTTGAATTACCATGTGTTTAAATTTGATTGGTTGGTAACTGAATTCTAGAGAGTTCTCTAGTAGTTCTCATGGGATTGGCTAACATTGGTCCCATGGGAGGTATCTAGTGAAGGAGAGACTCCATTTTATGCGAAGCAAGATGGCCGTGTTTTAGAATCCACTGTGAACACTGCTGAGTTGAATGCTTCTTCTCTGCTGGAAAGAAAGAGAGCCAAGCTTCAGGAGAAGGCAAAAGTGGAAATCTCTCATAGGAGCTTCAAGGCAGGGCCTAACTGAGATACAGAAGGCTGAAAATGCTGAGATCTGAAAAGAAAGGAAAATGCAGTTGTTTGGAAGTTAGAAGAGACCAAAAGCCCATGCTTGGAGAAGCATGTAACTGTAAATATTATGTTTTAAGTTGTTGTTGTTTATACCCCACCCATCTGGCTGGGTTTCCCAACTAAAGTTTCTTCAAGTAAAGTTTTTGAATGTTAAAGTCTGAACATTGGTTCCATTTCCAAAGAAGGGTGTCAGTTTGGTTTCTCCAAGTGATCAGGAGCCCTCCACAACTGGGCCTCCCGTTTTTGTACCAATTGACCTTGATCTTGCTTTGAACATGCAGAGGTCAAAGGATGCAGCTAGCAAGGATTTTGATGTTGGGAATGAGGCCAAAGGACATGGCCCCCGTATGCCTCCATGCATTCGGTAAATGCTTGGAGCGTTTAGCTAAAAGGGATTATATTAGCTGAAATATATAACACATGATAGAATTGCTTTAAGCTGTGCTCTGAGAGCTCAAGAGGCTGCTGAAGTAGTGTTAGAAATCGTTAAAGCAGAAAAGGGACCAAGAAATCAGGTAATTCATAAGCCTGGAGTCTTTTTCATTCCAAGGGTTGCGCAACCTCAGGGGCAGCCTGATGGCATTGTTGGGTGCGGCCAGAGGCAAGGATGGCTGGAGCAATGGTGGTGACTCTTATCGTTGTACAATAGGCTGCATTCCACCCATCCCAATGTCAGAGGCTTCTGTGGACATCTATTTCCAGCCCTTATTCATGCAGACATTTTTCACAGATGGTGGACATACTCCAAGCAGGCAGAAAACACTTGAGGAGGGGGGTTGAGCAAGGTTGGGGAGGGAAGGGGCCTTGTGAGAGTCCTGAGGCCAGACAAAGAGGAACAGGGGACACATTTGGTCTCTGGGCCCCACATGCGGATGAAGTATCCATAGACATTCCTCTGCAGTGGCATGGGATTATATAGAAGAAAGCAAATCATACACCATTGGGCAAATGTGTTGGGAAAGGAGGCATGCTGTGCCTATTCCTCCTGGAATTCTGGGTGCCACAATTTAAGAAGGATTGACAAGCTGGAACGGGTACAGGGGAGGGCAACCAAGATGATCAAGGATCTGGGAACCAAGTTGAAGGACTTGGGTATGTTTAGCCTAGAAAAAAAGGAGACTGAGAGGAGATATGAGAGCCGTCTTCAAATATCTCAAGGGCTGTCACATGGAGAATTAAACAAGCTTGTTGTCTTCAGCTCTGGAGGGTAGGACCCAAACCAGTGGCTTCAAGTTAGAAGAAAGGAGATTCCAACTAAACATCAGAAGATGTTTCGGACAGTAAAAGCTGTCTGACTGTGCAACGGACTCCCTCAGGAGGTTGTGGACTCTCCTTCCTAGCGGGTTTTTAAGCAGAGGTTGGATGGCCATCTGTCATGGATGCTTTAGTTGAGATTCCTGCATTGCAGGGGTTTGTATTAGATGACCCTCAGGGTACTTTACAATTCTATGATTCTATTAAATAGGTAACAGATGACGGAGGGTGAAGATTCTGCCACATTAACGGCAACCACACATCGTTAAATTGGCTTTGAAAGGAATTCATGAGAAGGATACAAAATCCATGTCATTTCTGCTTACTACCAAAGCAGAAGATGAAAAGAGGTCTGCGACTGCCAAGTTTGTTAGTTCTAACTGGTTCTTTTAGTGGAAATCGCGAGAGCAAGACATTTGAATCTGCATTTGCCCGGTAGTTAAAAGAGCTTGGCTCAAGTTCTGAGATCGCTTCAAAGAGTCCAAATTCAGCTCCATGCTCTCTGTCTGCGAAAGAGGGCAATGTTCATTTAAAAACTGACCTGTTGCCAACAAGGTAACAGTGTTTTTCCTTGGCTTTATTAACATCCTATATTTCAGTGTTTGTGCAGATGGATGCTTTGCTGCTCCCGAATCCATTTCCAGATGGTGTCTTTGTGACTTGCCAGTCAGGATAAGGACATAAGAAGAGCCCATCGAGTCCAACATCCTGTGCTCTCCATGGCTAACCAGATGCCCGTGGGAAACCAGTGAACAAGGTATGACCACTAGAACACTTTTGCCGCCTGAGGTTTCCAGCAACTGGTATTCAAAAGCGTTGCTGCCTCCAGCTGTGGGGGCAGAGCAAAACCATCATGGCTAGTTGCCTGTGATTGCCCTCTCCTCCATGAATTTGTCTAATCACCTTTTCAAGCTATTTAGGTTGTTGTCCGTCACTGCTTCCTGTGGGAGGATTGTCTCTGAAGGGGAGAAAATAGTGGTTGCTAGGCCGCAGTCCACAGAGGTTGCATTTCCCTTCCAGAGTTATGTTTGGTTGGAGGAGATAATAATAATAATAGGTAAAGGTAATGGGACCCCTGACCGTTAGGTCCAGTCGTGGCCTACTCTGGGGTTGTGGTGCTCATCTCGCTTTACTGTCCGAGGGAGCCGGCGTACAGCTTCCGGATCATGTGGCCAGCATGACTAAGCCGCTTCTGGTGAACCAGAGCAGCGCACGGAAATGCCGGTTACCTTCCCGCCGGAGCGGTACCTATTTATCTACTTGCGGGATGCGGGTGGTGCTGTGGGTTAAACCACAGAGCCTAGGACTTGCTGATCAGAAGGTCGGCAGTTCGAATCCCTGCCACGGGGTGAGCTCCCATTGTTCGGCCCCTGCTCCTGCCAACCTAGCAATTTGAAAGCACACAAAATGCAAGTAGATAATAATAATTAATAATAATAAAATTTTATTTATATCCTGCCCTCCCCTGCCGAAGCCGGGCTCAGAGCAGCCAACAACAATAAAAGTAACACAGCATTCTAAAATTAATTCATTTTAAAATCAATTCAAAATCAAATTAAATTAATGGCAACCATTGGGCTAGAGTTCTGTGAGGATTACCAAAGGAGACGGGTCAGAGTGTGCCTTGGCCAAAGGCCTGGTGGAACAGCTCTGTCTTGCAGGCCCTGCGGAAAGATGTCAAGTCCCGCAGGGCCCTAGTCTCTTGTGGCAGAGCATTCCACCAGATCGGAGCCACAGCCGAAAAAGCCCTGGCTCTGGTTGAGGCCAGCCTAATCTCGCTGTGGCCCAGGACCTCCAAGATGTTTTTGTTTGAAGACCGTAAGGTCCTCCGTGGGACATACCAGATGCCCCCTAGATGCTGTAGTCAGGACTTCTCTTGCCTGATTCCTCCTTTGGTTCTCTTACCTGTGCCCTCGGTTTCAAAACCTGGAGTTCATCACATAACTCAGATGTCTTTTTCAGCATAACCTAACAGTTTGCCGCAAAACAAAGTTGCTTGCCTGATCTCTGCTGTACAGTGTTTCAGGATCTAGCAGCTGAACTCTCAGGTGCTACTTTAAGAACATACATTTCCTGTTGATTTGAGAAAAGCTATAGCTCAGGAGCAGAGGATCTGCCATGCAGAAAGCGCCGGGTTCAATCCCTGACAGTTCCAGATGGGGCTGGGAGAGATTCTGCCTAAAATATTGAAGAGCCATTGCCAGTCAGTTTAGACCAGGGTTCCCCAACTGTTTTTGGACTATAATTCCCATCATCCCTGACCACTGGTTCTGCTAGCTTGGGATGATGGGAGCTGTAGTCCATAAACAGCTGGAGACCCAAGTTTGGGAAGACCTGGTTTAGTTAATACTGCTATAGGACTGGGAGATCAATTTGGATTATATCAATGGGTACCTTCTAGGCCCATGATTCTGTTCCAAGGAGGTTTAGGAAAAGAGGCCGCTGAGCCAGCCAGACAAATTTCTTTGTAAGATAATGGCCCGAGCGCTCCAGTTAAGCACATGCCCAAAAAAGTTGCCCTGTTGCCATAGAGACATCTTCCTTACCTGGCTGAATAAACGCCATCGTAGGATGGATAACAATAGGCCAATGAGGGCTGTGTGAGAGACAATTTGGGCTAATGCTGGAAGCTGAAGAGAGAAATGTTTTATTTTGTACAGCTGTGACTTGGGGCTTTCCTGGAAACCTAATGGGGAAGCATGATCTGTTCGAGTTTTAATGCTGTGAACCCCACCATCCTATGCTTATGTTGCATATAAAGGTAAAGGGACCCCTGACCATTAGGTCCAGTCGTGGCCGACCCTGGGGTTGCGCCACTCATCTCGCTTTATTGGCCAAGGGAGCCGGTGTACAGCTTCCGGGTCATGTGGCCAGCATGACTAAGCTGCTTCTGGTAAACCAGAGCAGCGCACGGAAACACCGTTTACCTTCCGCTGGAGTGGTACCTATTTATCTACTTGCACTTTGACGTGCTTTCAAACTGCCAGGTTGGCCGGAGCAGGGACCGAGCAATGGGAGCTCACCCCGTCACAGGGATTTGAACCGCTGACCTTCTGATCGGCAAGTCCTAGGCTCTGTGGTTTAACCCACAGCGCCACCCGCTTCCCTAGGTTGCATATATGTGCAAATAAAAACATACATCCTAAAGACACCACAGTCTCCATTGACCTTCATCCTAAGCAAACCAAATTCCTGATTAGCTCAGTCGGTGGAGCATGAGACTCTTATTCCCAGGGCCGTGTGTTCAAGCTCCACATTGGGCAAAAGAGTCCTGCATTGCAGGGGGTTGGACTAGATGACCTTTCTGAGCACAATTCAAAGTGTTGGTGCTGACCTTTAAAGCCCTAAACAGCCTTGGCCCAGTATACCTGAAGAAGCGTCTCCACCCCCTTCGTTCAACCCAGACACTGAGGTCCAACTCCGAGGGCCTTCGGGCGGTTCCCTTGCTGTGAGAAGTGAGGTTACAGGGAGCCAGGCAGAGGGCCTTCTCAGTAGTGGCACCCTCCGTGGAACGCCCTCCCATCAGGTGTCAAGGAAATAAACAACCATATGACTTTTAGAAGACATCTGAAGGCAGCCCTGTTTCAGGAAGTTTTTAATGACTGATGTTTTAATGTATTTTTAATCTTTTGTTGGAAGCTGCCCAGAGTGGCTGGGGAAACCCAGCCAGATATGCAGGGTATAAATAAGAAATTATTATTATTATTATTATTATTATTATTATTATTATATGACCCTCATGGCCCCTACCAACTCTATGATTCTACAAATTCTATAAGAGCAGAAACCTCTAGCGCAGCCTTTCTCAACTTGTGGGTCCCCAGACGTTGTTGAACTACAACTCCCATCACCCCTAGCTAGCAAGGCCAGAGCTCAGGGATGATGGGAGTTGTAGTCCAACAACATCTGGGGACCCACAGCTTGAGAACCACTGCTCTAGAGTCTCCACTGCTCAGAGAATTCTATTGAGTTGTTAATGTTTGGTTCACAATTATTTAAATGATAACAGTTTCCATATAAACAAAGAAGTAAGCCTTGGTGCCCCTTCATGGATCACTGCCTTGCCGTGGCGAAGGGGCTTGAATAACTCAGAGAAGCTATGAGCTATGCCGTGCAGGGCCACCCAAGATGGACAGGTCATATTGGAGAGTTTTGACCAAACGTGATCCACCTGGAGCAGGAACCGGCAAGCTACTCCAGTATCCCTGCCAAGAAAACTCCATGGACAAAGACAACAGGCATATAAAAGTTATGACGCTGGAAGATGAGCCCCTCAGGTCGGAAGGCGTCCAACATGCTACTGAGGAAGAGCGGAGGACAAGTACAAGTAGATCCAGAGCTGATGAAGCGGCTGGGCCAAAGCCGAAAGGACGCTCACTTGCGGATATGCCTGGAAGTGAAAGGAAAGTCCAATGCTGTAAAGAAAAATATTGCATAGGAACCTGGAATGTAAGAAGCATGAACCTTGGTAAGTTGGATGTGGTAAAAAATGAGATGGCAAGAATAAATATTGACATCCTGGGCATCAGTGAACTAAAATGGACGGGAATGGGTGAATTCAGTTCGGATGACTATCATATCTACTACTGTGGGCAAGAATCCCGCAAAAGAAATGGAGTGGCCGTCATAGTCAACAAAAGAGTGGCGAAAGCTGTACTGGGATGCAATTTCAAAAATGATAGAATGATCTCGATATGAATCCAAGGCAGACCTTTTAACATCACAGTAATCCAAGTTTATGCACCAACCACTGGTGCTGAAGAAACTGAAATTGACCAATTCTATGAAGACTTACAACACCTTATAGAAATGACACCAAAGAAGGATGTTCTCCTCATTATAGGGGATTGGAATGCTAAAGTAGGGAGTCAAGAGATAAAAGGAACAACTGGCAAGTTTGGCCTTGGAGTTCAAAATGAAGCAGGGCAAAGGCTAATAGAGTTCTGCCAAGAGAACAAGCTGGTCATCACAAACACTCTTTTCCAACAACACAGGAGACGACTCTACACATGGACATCACCAGATGGGCAGCATCAAAATCAGATTGATTATATTCTCTGCAGCCAAACATAATTAATATTTTAGAAAATTTACAAGTGAACATAAATACTAAGGCAGTTTTAATTTTTGTGGACGCGGAGAAAGCTTTTGACAATATTTCTTGGACTTTTATGAAAAAAAGCTTACAGGGTATGGGGGTAGGCCAAGGTTTTGAAAATGGTATAAGTGCAATATATTCTGAACAAAAGGCTAAATTAATTGTAAATAATGTGGTGACGGAAGAATTTAAGATAGAAAAAGGGACACGACAAGGCTGCCCAATTTCCCCACTGCTTTTTATATCGGTCCTGGAGGTTCTGCTGAATATGATAAGAAGGGACCAGTTGGTTAAAGGTATATAGGTCGGAGCCAAACAGTACAAATTGAGAGCATTTGCAGATGACTTAGTATTGACGTTACAGGAGCCAGAATCTAGTACTAAAAGGGTTTTAGAACTGATTCAAGAATTTGGTCAGGTTGCAGGGTTTAAACTGAATAAGTCAAAAACCAAGGTTTTAGAGAAAAAATTAACACTAATTGAGAGAGAGAGGTTTCAGAATGAGACAGGTTTAACAGTGGTCAAGAAAGTTAAATACTTGGGGATTAATATGACAGCAAAAAATGGGAATTTATTTAAAGACAATTATGAAAAATGCTGGGCTGAAGTGAAAAAAGATTTAGAAATTTGGTCAAATTTGAAGCTTTCACTGCTAGGCCGTATTGCTGCGATAAAAATGAATGTATTGCCTAGAATGTTGTTTTTGTTTCAAACATTGCAAATTGTGGACAAAATGGACTGTTTCAAGAAGTGGCAGAGAGATATTTCTAGATTTGTCTGGCAGGGCAAGAAGCCTAGAATAAAATTTAAGATATTAACTGATGCAAAGGAAAGGGGTGGATTTGCCCTGCCAGACTTTAAACTTTACTATGAATCAGCAGCTTTTTGCTGGTTGAAAGAATGGCTGCTTCTTGAAAACGCAGACATTTTGGATTTAGAAGGTGTTAACAACGTATTTGGATGGCATGCATATTTGTGGTATGATAAGGTCAAAGCGCATAAAGCATTTAAAAACCATATTGTCAGGAAAGCACTGTTTAATGTCTGGATAAGATATAAGGACTTATTGGAAAATAAAACTCCAAGGTGGCTGTCACCGATGGAAGCGAAAGCTCAGAAAAAACTCAATATGGAGGTCAAATGGCCGAAATATTGGGAAATTTTGGAACAGGATGGAGATAGGCTGAAATTGCAGAGTTTTGAAAAACTAAAAAACAAAGTGCGAGACTGGCTTCATTATTATCAGATAATGGAGGCATACAATTTGGACAAGAAAATTGGCTTCCAGGTGGAAAAATCAAAATTAGAAACAGAATTGTTAGAACCCAAAACTAAGATTTTGTCAAAGATGTATAACTTGCTGTTGAAATGGAATACTCAGGATGAAACGGTGAAATCTGCTATGATTAAATGGGCACAAGATGTTGGACATAATATAATGATGGCTGACTGGGAACAGTTATGGACCACAGGTATGACGTTTACGGCATGCAATGCCTTAAGAGAGAATATTATGAAAATGATATACAGGTGGTACATGACCCCAGTCAAGCTTGCAAAAATCTATCATTTGCCCGATAATAAATGTTGGAAATGTAAAGAAACTGAAGGTACATTCTTTCACCTTTGGTGGACGTGCCCAAGGATTAAGGCTTTCTGGGAGATGATATATAATGAATTGAAAAGGTATTTAAATATACCTTCTTGAAGAAACCAGAGGCCTTTCTCCTGGGCATAGTCGGCCAATCGGTGTTAAAGAAGGATAGAACTTTCTTTATGTATGCCACAACAGCAGCAAGAATACTTATTGCAAAGTATTGGAAGACACAAGACCTACCCACTCTGGAAGAATGGCAGATGAAGGTGATGGACTACATGGAATTGGCGGAAATGACTGGTAGAATCCGAGACCAGGGAGAAGAGTCGGTGGAAGAAGATTGGAAGAAATTTAAAGACTATTTACAGAAATATTGCAAAATTAATGAATGTTAGAATGTTGCTGGATTGAAGTTAAGCGGTTTCTAGCTGTATTGGTATAAAAGAATGTGAAAAGAATTGGATTTTTAACAGGTAAATTAATGTTATAGTATACTAAGATTAAAGATCAGGATATAATAAGGAGGGAAAGGAATTGCTGAACTAATAAATTGAACTGGAATACAAAAAGGGGAGGTATGAAGAGGTCCGGGAAACAAGTAAATGAAAGATAAGTGATAAAAAGTTTGAATTGTTTTTAACTATTTTTACTTTGTATTTTTTCCTTTTTCTTTTTCATTTTGTAATATTGTAAAAATCTTAATAAATATTTATATATATAAAAAAGAGAGAGTCTGAAGCTTTAGTGGCCAAGGTGTGGGTCAGTTCACACATGCATGTTCATCACTTGATTACTGCAACACAAAGGGAAGATATACATGTGTGAACAGGGCAGAGGAGAATGATAGCTAGAATCTGAATATTACCTAAAACCCAATGTTTTTTAAATAGGGGCACTTCACACATAGGGGGCAGGTTCACCTTGGTTTCCCATTCAATTCTGGGTGTTATTCAAAGTGTGGACATTCATCTGTAAAGCCATAAAAGACTTGGGAAAAAGCTATCTGAAGGATAAAATCCTTCCATCTATAGCTGTCTGGTCCTTAAGATCTTCATCGTAAATGGTTCTCGGAGTCCCCCTCCCACTGGAGGGAGCCTTCTCAGTGGTGGCTCCCTAGCTGTGGAATTACTTTGATAATAACAAGAAACAAGCAGAACATGCCCGCAGTTTTTGCTTTCAGAATTAACAGGCAAAAAGCAATTCACTCCAGAACTGCACTAAAAATAGTTTACTTTGTGAGCAAATCCAACAAAAAAGAGAGAGGACATCTTAGTGGCCTGGGGTCATGGTACATTTATGCTATAAAAGAAAACCACACTTGAGGAAAAATATCCATTTGTACTTAGCCTTTAGCCTACCTGCTTCTACTAGTTAACTCCACACCCTATCATGCCATCTCTGCATAGAAAAGCCCTCCTCAGATTCCCAGAGACGGTTGTCTGCTGCCTTTGATTATTTGTTTTAATGCAATGGCTAGCAATGTCATGTCTGTGGGCCCCAATGTACCCTCCAGTTTCTCCTCTGGTGCCCACAAAAGGTCTCAGTAAACATCCCCTCAAAAAGCTGCA